GGACTCATGGTTCACTTCATCCAAAATTTCCTGACCGATCGTTCTTTCAGAGTCGCAGTTGGCAACACGAGGTTCCAGCTTTTCAGAGAAGAGACGGGCGTCCCACAAGGTTCAAATATCACCGTTACCCTCTTCCGAGTGGCCATGAACGGAGTTTTTGGAGGACTGCCGAAAAATGTTTACATTTTCGTGTATGCTGACGATGTACTTATCGTAACTACCGGCCCAATAGCAGCACGTAACAGGATCAAGGCCCAGGCAGCAGTCTCCACTGTAGCCAGGTGGGCCAGCGCGGTAGGTTTCCAGCTTTCGACCACCAAAAGCGTCAGGTGCCACGTGTGTCCATACCGGCACCATGTCAGCGGGTCACCTATCAAAGTTCAAAGCCAGCCCATACCACTGAAGAAGACGGTCCCGTATTCTGGGGGTACTCTTTGGCCGGTCCCTCAACTTCGAGGAGCACTTTAAGGCGATCAAGAACGACTGCCGCAATAGGATCAACTTGATCCGCACCATCTCTCGCCCCCACCGGTCTAACAATCGTGATACTCGTTTCCGGGTTGCAAGTGCCGTCATCGATAGTCGCCTACTGTACGGTCTTGAGATAACGTGCATCGCCACCGCCACAATGCTCGGTTTTCTCCGCCGAAGCTGCGGCCATCCTTGTTGCCGTTACAACACCCTCGGACCGTCCCATACTGGTGCTATCGGATTCGTACAGCGTAATACAAGCCCTAACATCTGAGACCCTGACTCACCCCTGGATACAGGCTATTGTGGAGGCCACACCTCGGAACACGGTGTTTTCCTGGATCCCTGGGCACTGCGGTATCCCAAGAAATAGCGAAGCCGACAGCCTGGCAGGGTCTGGACCAGCTGGCCCCCGTTACACCGACGAAGTGCCACTACAGGACATAAAGCGATGGATAGTCAGCAAAATATGGGAAGCTTGGGAAGCAGAGTGGTGCCAATCCTAATCCCTCTTCATCCGTAGAATTAAAGGAACGAGGAGCAAGTGGACGAATATGTCGAAACTACGGGACCAGAAGGTGGTCTTAGGACAGGCCATACAAGGATCTCACATAGTTTTGGTGGGACGCAGTTCCACAGAATGTGCTACGTTTGCGGAACCACTGCATCGGTGGAACACATCCTATGCCTGTGCCTGCAATACCAACAACTACGGGAACAGTACGCACTTCCCAACAGCATTAGGGACATACTGGGCGACGAACCTTCCACCTTAGCGACAGTTTTTTTATTTCCTCAAGGGCGCTGGTCTATACAAAAACATTTAGGTCCTTTTAACTTTCTTTTGGCTGACGGGACATCTCTGCCGGATTACCCTTCCTACGGTGGAGCTCCGATCTTTTTTCAAAACACTGCATAACTTTGATGTACCAGATTGTGTTTTTTTTTTCTCGTTGCCTGTATTGTTAGTCTTTTTACTGGAATCTGTTTTAATTGCTTCTATTTGAGTACATGTGAATTGTAAGCCAACTCCGTAACTAAATTTTCAGGCAGAACTCCCCTAGGGCCTTCTATTTTATAGATATGAACTAGCCAACGGCTAAAAATCTCTCTAATAAAGTAAAAAAAAACGTAAAATCTTACATCGCAAATATCTCCTGATTTAAGGAGATAAACGCAATTAAAGATTTTGAACCTCCAAACATCCCTAAAATCTCGAGTAGGGCATTATTTAAGGAGATTTTAGGGTTGTTCTGAGGTTCGAATTCGCGTTTATCTCCTCAAACAATGGAGAGAGATTTAAGGGGTTTTGAGGCTTGAAATCTTAAATCCCATTTTTCTCAATATATAATGACCTAATCGCGATTTGAGAGGTGTTTTGCAGTTCGAATTCTTAAATCGTGTTTATTTTTTTTAATAATGCTCTAATAAAGGTTTTAAGGGTGTTAGGAGGTTCAAAATATTTAACACATTTATCTCTAGAAATAATACCCTAGTCGAGGTTTTGGGGGTGTTTTGAGGATCATAGTTTTGTGTTCCGTGCGCGATCGTTTGATTGTTTGGTTGAAACATTGTGCACAACTTTGTAAACACTTGAGATGGAATGACACATATAAGTAATATCGAAGTAATGAAACATTTATTATCCTAAAAGTATGTAGCTTTTGACATCAAATTGGGACCTTAGGTAGCCTTCTCCAGAGCGACCGATTATATTACCAGACCGGTCTAGAAGATCTTCCAGGTTGCAAATTTTCTCGACTTCTTTGGGCATGATATATCATTATGCCTGCCACCAAGGGGTGGTCACTCTACACACTTATTTTGCGCCATCTTTTTTCTCAATGTGCCTCAGTGTGCCGCAGCTGTGCTGGCAGTGCCGAGAAGTCATTGAACTGGCTTTTGTTTTGTTCAATAATGCCTGGTTTGGCAACCCGGAATTTTGACAGCTCTTGTTTTTCGAAAACCAAGATGACCAAGATGGAGTAGGTACAACATTTCCGTTCCCAGAATTAATATTATTTTCAAAAATTCAATTTTACCGAAGGTACAATAGAGAAAACTTTACCAATAAAAAATATCTTTCATAAAATATTCCTGGATATCCCTGGAATACACTTCGGTAAAATGGATTTTTTGTGGATAATATTAATTTATATTTAAATCACTGGTAAGTTCAGCTAGGTAGGTTGGTCATGACCGATAATAAAGTAATCCAGGGATATTCAGGAATATTTTCTGAAATATATCTGATAATTTGATCAAGATTTCTTTAATGTACCGGTAAAATAAATTTTTTGAAAATTTAAATTTTTATTTTTTATAATATCTTTCGAATATCAGTTAGATATGTTGGTCAAAACCGATCAGAAAGTGTTCTAGGAATATCTAATTATGGAGTTTTCCAAACAGCACCATGCGTCTCTCTTTACGATTTTGAACGTTTTTGTTCGCAAGGGATGCAAATTAAAAAAAAAAAACAATTTTTGGTCTTCAATGCACTTAAGTATATTTTTTTTATTTGAAATCGGGCTAAAATTTTCCGAGGATCCTATTTCGTGGTCAGACCGCTTTAAAAAGTTTAGTATTAGTATTTAAGTGAAAATAAGAGGTGTGTTAAAAATGAATAACAGATTCGTAAAGTACGCATTTGATACATCACATTTTCGTGGAAATCTGTTCGATCAACGCGGTCATTTCCGAAATCGTATGTCTATCCAACGGGACACGGGTTGTTTGGGTAGCTTTGAGGAACGTTCAAAATCCTTGAATACGCTACACGGACCGAAATTTCCAGCCTCTGCCACGGCTACACAAATTAGTGATGCTCCCCCGGCTGCGGCTAGTTCCAATGCTGCTGCTGATTTTTTTTGCTGCTGTTCTTTCTGCTGGTCCGTCTCCTCTCCTCCAAAATTCGTCAAAAGAATGTTGGAGACGGACCAGCAGAAGGAACAGCAGCAACTAAAGCAGCAACCGGAAGAACAGCAGTAGCATTGGAAGCAGCCGCAGCTGTGTAGCCGTGGCCGAGGCTGGAAACCTGGGTCCGGTCACGACACCGCTGTCAGCTGTTCTTTGTCTTCTGTTCATCTCATGAACGTATAGATCCCATATAGAAGGAAATATGGACGGGACTGCCGTGACGAAAGTCTGTGTAACGATTTTGATAACGGAGCTAAAGGATATCATGAACCCGGGAGGGATGAGAACTTTGGGTGATAAACTATCTTGGATGAGCATTTTTTTCGGTATGTTGGTTTTGTGTATGCAAACGATTGCCCTGATTTCTTCATACTGGGTTGTCGAGATGATTGTACGTAGTCCGGCGCTAAATGATGTACACACTTCTTTGGAAAGGCATTAGGATGGGCGCTGACAATTCGATTTAGGAGAATACATGGTAAGACTTGGTGGAGGTTTACGGTAGTGATTTGAAATAAATGGATTGTATTGTGGCAACATCAATAACAAATTTTGACACATGCACACTGCTCAGGAGCAGAAAAATTTCAGTGTTGCCATCTTTAAATATCAGAAAAATTGTAACCATGGGTGCCAAACAGGGCCAATGACTGTGCCCAGGTGTGCCCAAGATTGTTTTTGACACACTATGCGGAGAGGCTAACCCCTTGGTCTGCTACATAATAAAACAACAATTCTCGATTACTTTTTCTAAGGGACGTATCAGCTTTTGTAAATAATGCATTTTATATGTTGTAAACAATGCATTTTGAAACTGTAAGAGTGCTTCAATCAGTACTAAGTTGGTGTATGAGTGTACAATTCAGAATGATAAAAACCAACACGATGTTTGAAGTTAACTATGGTTTCAAGTGTTTTTCTAAATAACAAGTATTTTGAATTCCATCTAACTCGTCACAAGCCTTCAAAAAATCATACACCCACAACGTCACATAATCATTTTGTAATCAAGTGGGAAAACAAAAAAAAAACATCTCCGGGAAGCACACATTTCACCGAGCTTCCGAAATTAGACACGCATCAATAGTTACTTCAACTAATACCCAATGATCGCCACTTTTCCACTGACTGCATCATAATTGGCCTCTACCGGTGATGAATTCAGTTCATACCAGTAATACCACTTGCTGCCAAACTCCTATCGATTTTTCTTCGTTTGTTTCTCACTTGTTGCGCTCTGGTCAGCCACTGACCATTCATCAATCGTTGTCGGAACATCATCAATGAATCTTTTCTCCTGTGCTCCATCCTCCCAGTAGGTACGCAACATGACTCGTATACGTAATACCATTTTGTAGATTTTTTTTTGTTCGAGGATGATCGTGAATTGAGCCCCCAATTGCTGTATTATGTAAACATGTTGTGATGAGCCGTGAAAAATTCCGATTCAAAATTTGTTATAAAAAATTGATGCGCTTGCATCGATGAGGCAACCGAAATCTGCGTGTTTCGTACACATGGTGGTTTATTGTTTGTTTCCCGTCCAGTGCCATGATTTCATGTTGCGCTAATATTTATTTCCGTTTTTTTTTTCTTCTTTATTTTCGCAGGTGGTACATCAAGCAATTCGGGGAGATACGGCCACCGACAATCGTCACTAGCTTTAACGCCCGAGGAGGAACCACTCGACTCATATCCTGTAAGTACATGGGGGATGAGTAGCTACGTGTTACTCTGCCCATAATCGCACATCAGTCCCATGATTGCTTGATTTCATATGCATATGGGACCGTTATGCGATTATGGGTAGTGTAGACATCTCGGGTTTATAGTTTTTAGTAGTGTGTTGGGCAACGCTTTCGAGGGGACTCTCGAGGAATGTCGGAGTGGGTGTTATTTTTAGCCTAGTGAAGAGTACTTACGGAAACTTGAAATGCTCTTCTAGGTGGTAAGCTGGGATGAATGTTGATTTGTGTCACGCAAAGGTAGGGCATTTATGAACTTAACTATGGAGTGAATTCATGATGCATGGTGCATATCGTTTTAGGATTTAAAATACGTTTTTCCGTAGCTATGGTATTTTTTCAAACTAGGAGTTTCATCCGATACTTTTGCTGCTGATTGTATTTTTATTTTAAATCAAATCTAAAAAACCTCTAACATCAACATGCGACTTGGATTGAATGGAAGTGATCGTTCCAATGGCATGATTGAAGGTTCGATGCGACCATTTGGGTTCCTTTTCGTTTATGATAACCACACAACACATTTACTTTACACATCAGATAGTCTACGTTGTGTATAAAATAAATATGCCTAGAAACAATTACTATGAGATGCAGTGATATGACACAGAGTTCAGCGCCGGCAACCGGAGAAGTTCAAACAGCGAGTAATAGATAAAGTGGTCTGGTAATTTCGATAATTGGTTCACTAATGGTGTTTGAGAACTCCAGAATTTGAGGCAGAACCGTTCTAATGGACATGGCTTACTTTGACTATCGCACTTTGAACCACATTTGGATGTTTAGTGCTCTTTAGAATTGATTTTAAAATTAAAATACGAACAGCAGTGAAATTAACGGTTTTAATTCCTGCTCAATACCGCAATATCAATCTTCGAAAAATAGACACGATATCAACAACCTGTAAATATGGCTGTATACATTTTTATTTTCAATCTGTATGATTTTGCAAAAAATGCCCTTTTGAAGTGAAACGCATAAACTATGGGTGCCATTGATAATAAAAATAGCTGTCTTCCTAGTTTTAGGAAATCAAGGCTAGCGGTCAACGGTGCCGGTGGTGTAGTGGTAAGCGTGATTACCTCTCACCCCAGCAGGCCTGGGTTCAATCCCAGTCGGCACCGCCGGGATGTTCTGATGCATAACATCTCTCATCACGCCTTCCTTCGGATGGGAAGTAAAGCCGTTGGTCCCCGGTTCATGAGTTGATGGGTCGATAGGTAGGGTCCAGGTGTGGGAGCTGCCTTCCTGGCACGTCGGTAGCATTGGTGCTCAGCACGGAAAACAAGATCGATGGAAAAAACAAACCAAAGGAAAAAAAAAAAGGCTAGCGGTCGGTGGTAGATTTTACACTGCAAAGCATCATCAAGATGGGTTACTGTGGATTCCAGAGAGCGTCCACCTGAATAGTTTCTGACGCTGGCGGCAAACGTGGATTCGTTACAGGGCCAAGCGGTCGTGATGACGGCCTTCAGCTGAGTAAAAGTCGTTTCAAACGAAAAATGGTCCACTACGAACGTAAAAGATGTGCTCTCGAACCACACTACCGCCCATCCGCGATTTCAAATCGTCAGTTGCATGTTCAAATTTTAACACAATCCCCAATACAAATTATTCTAACATATTTTCCCGTGCTTGCTAACTAAACATGAAAATCATTCTATACCCAGTTGCCTCGTCTGGTCTAATCAGAAAACATATTTACACATTATTTCGGTGTTACAGATTCGTGAAAGAATTTCATAATTAAACCTAATAATGATTATAATTGAAATATCGTGGGTTCCCTCCATTGAACGTAAATTATTTATCCGACTCTGTTATTATATTTCGTTTTCCATCAAGCTCGGATCCATTACTGACCCACTAATGCCAACGTATAGCCTGCACCAAGAGCTCACCTAGTGTGACCGATTGTCCAAAGCCATCGGAGATTTGATAAGATAGCAACATTCCGAACTAATTGACCACCATTAAGCAGCCGTACTGATTACCTACTCTATTCTATCGAGGTGGATTCACGTGCAATTCAGCCACAAACTATTGCAATTAACATTGTGCCCGTTGAAAAGTTAATGGAGGCTCATTTGGGTGAATGTTCTCACCATTGGAATGCATTCTTGTGCTAATGAATTTGATGCACGTGCGCCAATTTGTGCCGTTTGCTCTACTTGAGTAATGTTTTGACTGTACTCATTCTGCCCTCTTCCATAGGAGCAAAACACTACAAGCAACGCGATATCGTACTAACGCGTATAAATTAGATCCGCCAGCTAATCTTATCTGCCAACGGACGGGTGTTGGGAATTCCCACAAGTCCTGGGTGCTCAGATTACTTCCTTCTTTGCCGCCAATATATGTCAATATCGAACTATAATAGTTGGGTAATAAAAGTGTGATTAGTTCCAACTCAAGCTGCTTTATCAGTTTCAGTTTGTGTAACAACCTCATTAGCAAAACATATGACTCAATAGCAGAACTGCAAGGCGTGAAGAAAGTTAATAAGAAAGATATCCAAGAATATTTTCGCATTTCATCAAAAAATACACCCCCCTAAACGAAAAAAAATATTATCTAATCTCACGTAGCCTGGCAAGGAGGGAGGCAAGTTCCATTGACGAGAAGCACGCCTAGTAATTCAACTGGACTGGATCACACTAGATTCGTTATCTTCCAGCCTTCAGGTTACTTCTGGCGTCATTCGATTGTTTTCATTATGCTCTTTATACTGTTACTTTTAAAGCATTATCGGATGGTCAGTTGAAATGCACGGTGGGAAATTGGTTAAACTTTTCAAACACAAATAAGAATGTATAAAATGTAATTTGACGATCTCCCATCATAATTATAATCTAATTGACAATGCGGTTTGAGTAAAACTTATCTGCAATCCGCTCGCTAGAAAACTTTTAAATACTTACCAACAGATAGGGTTACGGTATGTAATGTGGGTCTAGTCCTTTCATTCGGCCTATCACGCAAATAAATAATTAATTAAGGAATATTACACAAAAAATAAGGAAAATATTGATCACTGATGGTTGATAAATGTGTACCACACACAAATCAATTTATATCACAACATTTCAATACATTTTCAGCTCTCGTAAGTAATAAAACTGGTTGAGAATATCACAATGTTCGGAGTTTTTAGCCGCCATGACTTATAAGGTTAAGATGGGAAGGTTGACTGACGATCATCAAATGGCCTGATTATGGCATTTATTGATTGGAATTACCTGATAATACACACTAGACGTAAAACTTACAGTTGCTGTTTGAATATTTTATGTTTATTTTAATTGTTTAACAACGTTTTCACAAGTAAAACATGGACCCAACTTTAGGGACACATTTCTTTTCTATGTTCCTAACTATGGCCCATGAAATTCATTTGACAGCATATAGCAATAAGAGTAACGTCAACAATGTTGTTTTGCATTTGGATGATAAGGAACGAACACAATGTTCTGATTTAGATATTCTGCGGTCAAAAGACGATAAGCGAAATTTTTAATTTTTAATTTTTAAATTGAGTGATTTAATGTAGTTTTCGTAAAATTTTCTCTAAGAAATGTTTTGAGGAATGAAGAGCATTAAGTTAACAGTGATAGTGATAAAAAAAAAATACATCAGAAAACGTTACCAAGAGCGTTTTTTTGAGGATCAAACAAGATAGGACGAAGTTGCATCCATAAATAGACCCAATTTGGGGACAATAGACCCATATTACATACATTTCCCTCGTGAGTTATTGTCTTAAAAAAAGTAAGTTTTTCAACTTTTCGTGGTTTCTGATAGCAAACGACATGATAAGCATATCTAAGCATACCATTTAGCAGTAGAATATCGTTTGCAGGTAAATTCATTGATGAGTTATGATTAAAAACGTAATCGATGGCTGCATATTAGACCGAGGTTAGGGACGTATACCCTAATTAATAAAATTCAACCGATTAACGATTTTTTTACTGCATTGGAAAGGAACAGGCAAACGACACTACTAATTTAAACGAGAATATAAATCTCCAGCAGATACCGATGTACAGGGTAATTTTAAATGTGTGTGAAATTAACTACAGTCATACATCAAAAGCCTACTACCTAAACACCTCTGAAGTCCTCTGAAGATCTAAAATTGTACAGAAGAGTTTCAAACTTCCCTGGAAATCTTTGGACTGATATGCCAGAATCTATTCTAAGGTTCACGCAATTTTCCATAATCAAAACGGAACAGTACTCTGAAAGCCCTCTTTTATGTAGTATTCAGTTTACCACCCCTTGTCTTAGGAAGTAAATCCCAAATAAAGAGGTACTTTTGTCCGAAGCAAATTCCAAACAACAAGTTATTTTCTTGAGATTCTGGGAAACTGTAAAATACTGTGAAATACTTCACAGCATTGATATTTTTAAAATCAGGATGTAGGAATCGAAAATCGATGTCTAATACCATGTTAAAATCTGAATAGCTTAAAACAATGTCACCCCGGTTCCAGAAAATTTCTGAATTATTATTATTATTTTATTTAATATCCATATTGTGGGGTATTTGACAGTATTCCCAGTTTTTTCTGTAACCGTATGCCGTATGTATCTTGGATTTCAAAAAGGCGTCAGCCATGGATTTCCGGTTCCGTAACAGTTGATACCGGCACAAAAGCTTTTGTAAACAAACTTTTTAAGGCCCTTCACACGGAAAGAGATGGAACTGGTGGAGAACATTGTTGGAGACCGACTATTGAGGATATTGATACATAGACTTCTGTAGTTTGTGTTGTGTGAGTTGCATCATTATTTGAATTAAAGGTGCTAATGTGGTCTGAATAACTGCCTCTTTCTCTTGAGCCCACTCTAGAACCTACATTTCGTATTTAGATCTATAAGTAAACTGCTGGTCTGAGTTTCTCTGGTATATTCAATTAGAGGATGTTCCTGAATATACAGTCAAACAGCA